TATGGGGGTATCCTAAAACTCATTCAGAAGACTTGGTTGCCATATTTATTTTCCATCTTCTTAGAGGTAAAATTTCTAGAGGTCTCTTGTTTTTCCATCTCTCTTTAGCCCTTAGAATTATGTTTGGTATGTGGCAAATGTTTAATGGATACTTGTGATCAGCTTAGTAATTAAATTGCATGATGTATATAAAATGCCAGGTGGCGTACCTGGAACAGAGCAGATGCCAGTGCAAGCTCAGGGCAGGAAGCCCTGTTAAGAAAGTTCAGGTTTTGGCTGCTAGAAGTATAAGTTAGGAAAAAATATCCTAAATCAGAAGTGTTAGATAGTTAAGAAAAATAATGCTATAAATACCATATTAAAACACTAGGAAACTAAGGAACGGAGAGAGTAAATGAAACCTTTTGGTCCTTGTTAGTGAAGAACAGTAAATACAGAGTAGAAAGAACCTAGAAGTATGGCTCTCCTGAAATTTGAAAGGCCATATATTCTTTTACTCAAAAAATATGTAATAATCACCTACTAAATGTCAGATAGTATGCCCAATAGTGGAAATGTTCTAAGAAGATAGAGGTGGTTTCTACCTCTTTGTGGGAGTTTTGTCCATAGAGGGACTTTCTAGTCTGAAACTGCTTTATCCTAGAAAATAGTCTATTTGCAAAGTTTCATGAAAAACTGCTGTAGTCACCTATCCTAGTAAGGCCTTTAAGCTTGTAGGTGTTACCCACTTCCTGCAATGTATTGAATAAGAGTCATATATAGTGATTTGGTTGCATATGTTAGTATCAAATCCTTAAGTCAAGGCAAAACCTTGTCAAGTGGCCCTTTGCACACTCCAGAGCTGACAATGCCTTACAAGAGAGTCACCATGTTAGAGAATTGGGTGAAGAAGCTATTCCACTGATATGCTGAGAACTCTGAGCAACACAATGGGTCAGACATGTCAGAATGGGAAATAGACTAGACAGATATTATAAGGATAGTGGTCAAGTTTCTAGAGTACTTTGATCAGAGAGGAAGGTTCAGACCTAAGTCATAACGAAATGTTCTCATTAGGTGAAGCCTCAGCTACTCCCAGATTACAGGTTTCTGATTCCATTCCTGGTTTTATGTTTTCCACTGAGTGCAGATGAGTCTGCTAATCACAGACCAGAATAATCCCTGCTGGAAAAAGACAGAGGTGCCATGCAGTTAGAAACACACACCTCTTTCTGGCTTCTTTTTTTTTTTTTTTTTTTTTTGTCACACAGGCTGGAGTACAATGGCACGATCTTAGCTCACTGCAACCTCCACTTCCCGAGCAGCTCGGATTACAGACACCCACCACTATGCCCGGCTAACTTTTGTATTTTTAGTAGAGAGAGGGTTTCACCATGTTGGCCAGGCTGGTCTTGAACTCCTGACCTTGTGATCTGCCCACCTCAGCCTCCCAAAGTGCTGGGATTACAGACTGAGCCACCACGCCCAGCCTGTTTCTGGCTTCTAATGAGGAGCTGAACAGTATATCATCTTATTCCTTTGAATCAGCGCAACTTCTAGGGGAAGAGAGCTTGGAAGTGTTGAGGCTTTGCCCAGTCTTTCTAATAAGGATCAGGTAAAGTGTTAATAACAGAGACTGGAGAGCTGATATCTTATCTTACACTATCCCCGCTAGCTTTTATAATTTGAAGATTTCAGACAAAATTACGTTGAAATCTGACTTTGACAATATCCTTAACTAAGGTAGTACTGCCTAATCCTTTTAAAAAGACAGTATTAAAAAAAGAAATTATTCTTTGGCCATTGTTGTAAAGTCATATTGTAGTTAAGGCAGGCTTTACTGGCATGCGTCCAGGGCCCCATGATCTGAAGGACTCTGCCCTCGATTTAATGCTAGATTGTTACTGTCTAAAACCTCCTCAGAATTTTTGGACACAGAATGCTGCATTTTCATCCTGCACTGGGCCTTGCAAATCCTGTACCCACATCCGTTTTTTTATTGGCAGATTAGTGTAAACTCATGTCTTTCAGTTTTTCAGAAAATATATATTGAGCCCCTAAAAAATAAATTAAAAACTTGAATTAAAAAAACTAGACAGCATAAAGTAATGAACAGATTATAGATTTTGGAGTCAGATAAACTGGGTTTGACTTTAAACCTAAGTGTAAGGCCTTAAGTTATCCTTTGAGTCTCATTTTTCATATTAGTAAATAGAGATGTTAGTGCTTTCATCATTTTTGTGTATGAAGCTAAGCATAAACTAGATGATAAGATTTATGCTAGGTATTCTAAATAATTTATGCTAATTATTATTTTAAAAGAAATCACAGGGAAAATTGAGATGAAAGAGGACATCTAAAAGGTTGTCAGCATTATTATTATTATTGATTTTGAAATAAAATTATTTTCAAACAATAACAGTCAACCCATGGGAAAGCTTTCACTTTTATCCAGAGAAGATAAAGACAGTGTTTATAGTTTATAAATTGAAAACAAAGTAGCACTGTACATAAGGTGTCAGAGCAAGTCATGTGCTAAGGTTTCAAGATCTGCAGTTCTTACCCTCTTCAGTTTGTTCACCCAGTTCACCTAACAGGGACACAGTTCACAGCAGTTCAAAGTCCTAATTTAAAAAGAAAAAATGAGATAATTGCATTTCATGCAACTTCAATTCTAACCAGTTCCACTTCCAAGTTTAAGGATGGGGAGACTTTTGATGGCAAGTTCTGTAAGTGATCAATGTCTGAAACAGAGTCAAATCAGAACCATTCATCCAGAACTTCGTATAAATAGGTCGCAAATAAGGTATAGTAGTATCTCCTTGTCAGAAGATGAAAAATAAAGTGGGAAATATAATAGGCAGGTTAAATATGGATTCTTCATGTGTAAGAGTGTTCTGTACTTTCTGATTACATACGTGCAAAATAAGGGTGATAAGATACCCAGACTAGACTTCTAATAATGTTTCTCTTTCTCCTGTTTGGGGCTACCTGTTATTATGACCTGCATGAAGACAAGGCTATTGCTGCTTCAGTTCACCCTGTTGCTCCTGGTACCTAAAAGGAGAAATGGGCAAAAGCAGAAGAAAACGCCTATGTAGTTTTCTTTCTGGGTTTTGTTATTTCATCTTTTCATCATTTAATTGAAAAATTGAGACTTCATTTAAAAACAAGTGGGTACAAGAACACAGTGTTAGTATTTGGATGTTGAAAAATACACATTATGTTTCTTGTGTGTCTTCTTATTCTGTTCTTTTTAACACAATGGTGTATTATTAAGAAAGTTCCAGGCATGTAAGAGCAATATAATTCTTTTTATATATATTAACCTTACTGAATCAAAGTTGTCCTTTCAATCAAGCTCTTAGTTTCTCAAAAGCAAGTGGAAATAAATTACAAAAAGATCTTCGATAGTCATTTAAAAAAATATTTTGGTGTGGTTTTCTATTGACCTGAATAAAGTCCTTCCATAAACTTTAAAAAAAATATCAGTTTTGTTAAATGAATTCACCTATTTTGAAGTGAATGTCAAGCCGCAGCAAACTGCAGCAATAGGCTCTAATGGGTAGAAACCTAAGTACATTAATCTCCTTAATGTCTTTACTATCTACAAAAGAGTGCCTTCATGCCATGAACATATACATGTTCTAACTAAGGAAGGAATATGTGCTCAATGCAAAAAAAAAATTGGTAAACACCAACAAATACAAAGGAGACTCAAAAGCCATGATTTTACCACTCGATAGCAAGACTTTTTCCAGGCCCAAATTCAGTCACTGACTCAATACATATCTGTTTCATGTCTATTTTGTCCAAAGCACCATGCTAGGCATTGGGCATACCTTTGTAAAGATGAAATGATTTCTACCATCTCGGGGCTCATTTCTTAATGGAGGATAGAGGAGAAATTTATGAAAAATATTTTTTAAATTTATAATAAAACTGATATGAGAAGAAGTCATGGAAGGCACATATAACAAAGCAGTGATTTGACTTCTAATTAATGAAATTAATAAACAGAAGGGGCTGGGATGGGTGAAGAAAGTCCTAGGTAAATAACACAACACAGTTATAAGCTACATGCATGTCTGCATTAAAACCTTCCCACATTAGTATTCTTCTATAGCATAGGGTTCATTATTCCATTATATGGATCTATTATATGCAATTTATTTAACCAATCATCTTTTTTTATATTTTATATATGGAATTAACAAACAATGATGCAATTAACTTCTATGGACACAGACTCAGCAACTTTGAGACTATTTCTCTAGAATAAATTTAAATTCATAGGAATGGACATGGTTAGCCGAAAGATATACACATTTTTAGAGATTTTTAAAAAGCACGTTGTCAAATTGCACTCCAGAAAGGAAGCAACAGTCTGAACTCCCACCAATACTGTAAAAGAGAATCTATTTCCTGCACCCTGATTATCCCTAGATGTTCTCAGATGTTATTTCTTTTATTCCTTGACAATTTGATGTACAAAGAGGGAAAAAGCATGTCACTATTTTTATTTGTATCTCTTTGACTTCTGTAAGATTCAACATTATGAAAATATTTTGAATTAAGCAATGACACATGAGGCTGGTTAGTTTTTAAGACTGAAATACACTAAACCAATGAAGAGAAGAAACAATGAAGGAAGAAATGGGTTCTGATTCCATTTTTACTTTGCTATTTTTGGTTTGCTGTAGAAACATAAACTTTTTATGGGAAGGATGCACATGGATACACAAAAAATGGATTTTTGGTGGTTGAAAAAGATTTTAGGAGGAACTATAAATTGAGAAACTCTTACTATAAATGCTATGCTTTTAAATAATTCCAGAATGTGTTTATTATTACCCAAATTCCATACCACCTATAGATTTTAATAAAGAGGAGACTTTTAGGAAGACTGTTAAAAATAAAGATGGTCTCTACTCATTCCAAATGTTGCTCATATTGTATCTATAAATGATTTCTTCAACCGATAATGCTTTTTTTTTCCTTTTTATTTTTTTTTCCCTAAGGAAAAACTGGTCTACTTCCTGGGTTGTTCTTTCTAGTCGAAAAATTGAATTTTACAAAGAATCCAAGCAACAGGCTCTGTCCAATATGGTAAGTAATTCTCTATTTCTATTGTTAAACATCTTTTCAGAAATATTGTAGAATTAAAAGTTTGGTTTTACCAGAAATCACACTAAAACCTCCAAGCTACCAACATCTGAAAACAGATGGTGAAAATGACTCAATAAACTTTTAATCAGATGAGGGGAAAATAGAACTTAGTGTCTGTTTTATTAAGTGGTGCATTTGGAGAATAATCACAAAATGAGATGTGTGGTGAGCAGCTATGTAGTAATGCAAAGGTAACACTTTAAATTAAGGTGCCATTTATAAATGCCTTCTTCTTATGTATGAAATCATCACTAAATGCAGCTACTTGCTCAAATAATGTATTATAAAGTATGTTATAAAATGCATTAGTAATAAATGCTTAACGGATGATACTATGGGAAGCTGTTTTAAAGAATATTATAAGACGTAAATCGTATTAAACCATGTATGTGCATCTTTAATACATGAATTTAAGTTGTTATCTAGCATGCTATAAAGTGCTTCAGACATTAATAAATAATAATAAACTGTTTATAAATGGCACCTTAATATAGGGTATTACCAATGAGGAAACACTCTAAATTAGACAAGCGATTTTTTTATCTTAGTCTAACTATGATGTTCACTATATCCAGCTAATGTTTTTGAATATTTCTATGACTCCATCTAATGGAGCTAATACAATTTCTGTATCATGTAGTTATTACAAAGTGAAATTTGTAGGGTTTCTTCCTTGTATCTGGAGGAGGCCCTCTCATATGCCTGCAAAGATTTGACAGTGATAGTAAGTAAGAGCAATTCAGAGTCAGTTACTGGGGCAATTCAAGCTTAAGCCCCTGCTGCCCAAATACAAGAGCTGCCACAAGATGTAGAAGACAGTGGGCAGGCAACGTATCTGACAGCCTCCTGATTAGGAAGGACTCCGGGCAGGAACTAACCTGCCACAGCCCATCGGCCTGATGGATGACAAGGAAAGGGGTCGTCTGGCAGGAATTACCCACAATGAACTAATTTATATTTGGCAGGTAATAAAACGATGGGAAGTGCTTTGCTCTCCAGCCACTGGTTGTGTTTGCTATGTAATCCTCTTTAAATGGAAAATAGAAAATCATTTGCTATGAGATTTTTTTTAAAAGAAGATTTTAGTAAGAACAAAAGGTAGCATTTGGCTTTGCTTCTAATAACTGCAGTAGCCTTTTTCCCCAAGTGGCTTGCTGATTTTGGAGTCTCGGTGATGTCCGATCTGTAATCTAATTATTAATAAATTAAAAGTATTTCTCAGTCCTTTGTCTTTTTAATTTAAACTGCCTCAGAAATTTGTTTTAGGGTTTTATTTTGTTTTTATTTTTGGCTACAGTAAGGTTGAGATAATCTTTTTAAGGAAAATGAAGTACCCCTAAGGGCCAGGCACAAGTTGTTTAACTTGCATCCACTTGTAGGTCCTTTGTCTTCCCTTTGAATGAGCTCTTAGGGGGAAGTCAGGAGGGGAGGAAAGTTGCTGGCCTGCTGAGTTTGGCTGGTGAAAAGATGATCTTCCCCTGCTAAGTGAGAAGAATTCCATTGGGAGAAGTGTTTATTCTAGTATGTGGGATAATGGGAGAGATAAGAGTCCATATTTTAAAGCATTTGGTTTATTTTTATTTTATTATTTTAATTTTTTCATACCAGGAGATAAAATTATCAGCTGTTAAATATTATACAGGTGAAAGAAAACTCCCTTTTTGATTGCCGACAAACCTTGCAAGTTAGCTCACTGACTGCATGCTCCTTGTTCAACCTTCAGAACTGCTGTAAATTGACAATAGACTTGACTTGTAGGAGAAATTTGTTAACATTTTTTGGCAGTCCTTATTTATTACTTCTGGCTCCATTTTTAATGCTCTTATGGTTTCTCCCAGGCACTCAATGTTTTTAAAGTCAATTCAGGGCAGGAACTAACTGTGTTTTGTGGTAATGGGTAAGAGAATCACAGATTCATGTTTGTGTTGCATGAATTGTCTTCCTAGTCAACTGCTTGGATCCATTTCTAACCAAGTATTAAAGGCCTAGTGGGATAGCCCACATTTACCAGTTCCAGTCTTAGAGAAATGACACAATGATTGCCAGGCCTTGATTAAAGATGCTGTGGTTTTATTTTGAAAGTGATTTATGCTCAAGTTTCCGAATTTCTCTTGTACCCCCTTAGACTTGTTCTGGTATTGTTCATTGTGCTTCTTGGAGAAAAGTCTGCCCTTTCCTCCTAGGGGTCATTACAAGCTGCCTGAGTGAGTGCAGAATGTGATTTAAAAGAATATATATAAAGAATAAATTAATCTTTATGCAAATGATCTTTAAGTGTTACTGCAGTAGTGAGACAAGGCAACAAAAATAGCCAGAGCAGTTTTGAAGTTGGACCCTAAAGCTTTTGAAGGGGATATAATTCTGTTTTTACCACTTAGTAGCTGATAACATTACTCCCTTCTTTGAGCTGCAGAATCCTTACCTGTGAAACGGGCATAGCGATCTCTGCCAACATAATTAGTAAGGAATAAATTAGTAAAAACTAATACATAATGACCAAAAAATAATTATTGTGATTTATTATATCATACTCTATTAAATACAGAAATATAGTATATTCTATAGTATACAATATAGAGAATAATTATATTATTACAGTTTATTAGTTTTGCACTTGACCTGATTTATTTATAGAAGAGAGAATATACTAATTCAAGAAACTCCATCATGCATGACCTCCAAAAGAATGTATCTGTAAGCAGCATAAAATGCTATCTCAGAGCAATGACTAATACTGAAAATTAAGCCATACATCCATTTAGGGCTCTAGATGTTAACCTCCTGAATGTCCATATGAAGTTTCCCAGGGCTCCCATCTTCTTCCCTTGGCTCTTACCCTTACTGTTTTCACATTTGATACAGCATGTCACAAAGTATTGTGCCTGACCCCACATTCCATGTTTGGCTACTTTTCTTCCTCACTGAAGTTCTTCCAGTTCATATCTGTCTTATTCAGTTAGGACTGCTATATCAAAGTAGCAAAGACTGGGTAGCTTAAACCACACACATTTATTTCTCCCAGTTTTGGAGGCTGGGAAGCCCAAGATTTAGGCACTGGTGGATCTGGTGTCTGCTGAGGTCCTACTTCCTGGTTTGCATCTGTCCTGACTTCTTGCTGTATCCTCACACAGCAGAGGGCAAAAAGTAAGAAAGCAGATCTTCATGTCTTTTCATATAAGGGCACTAATTCCATTCATGAGGGCTCCACCTTTATGATCTAATTACCCCCCAAAGGCCCTACCACCTAATGGCATCGCACTGGGACTTAAGATTTCAATGTAGGAATTTTAGAGGAACAGAAACATTCAATCTATAACAATATCTAAGTCACAGTTTTATCAAAAGCAGCTTTACTGTGCAAATAAGCACAGAATCACTTGCTTATTTTCATAGCAATTCATAGGTTCCTCAGTGAGTTAGTAAAAGAGAAGGAAGAATGACCTATTCTGTCCTTGTTTTATAAAAAGGACATTAAATTCTAACTGACCACCTACTATCATCAACATTTTACAACAGAAAGCACATTATAAAATACCCAATCCAAAATATAGGAAGGATAAAATTTTCAAAAAAAAAGATGCTCTTTACCAGGAAAGGAAACTGTCCCCCTTATTTGCCTAACATGCTCTCTTCTGTTCATTTAACCTCACATCAAGGCAGGTTGATCTGGACTGGCTAGCTCTCCAGTGAGAAGAAAAACCACTGGTGTCCCTAGATCCATATTTTCTGGATTATGAAGGAAAGGATAGTGTTCATATTCTCACTTTTTTTCATGTATTTTTATTTATAACTCACTTAAAATCTAAAAATATTATAAAATAATGCAGAAACCATTTTTAAGCAAAATTTATAAAACATCTATATGTATTTTTAATATGTATCAATCAATTACCTATATAAGCACCACCCAGGATGAGATATAGACCCTGCCAGCCCTTCAGAAGCTCCACTTTATATCATTTGTCCCTTTGTCATCATAGCCTCTTTCCTTCCCCTGGAGTTAGCCACAAACCTTCATTTTAGTCATTATTTTATTGTCTTTTATTATTTTCCCACTTATAGCTATATCCCTTAAAATGTAATTTAGGTTTTCTTAAAATCATGTAAATGGAATCATAGTGTATGTTTCTTTTGTTTTTTGCTTCTTTCACTAAGTATTTCTTGCTTTTTCTATCCTTTAATATTTTATCATTCCATGTTTTTCTTTTCTCTACCAATTTGGGAGGGACACACTTTGTTTCTGTTCTGTTAGTATAGTTAGCCTAGGATTATAGTGCATATCAAAGCACTGTACTTATCAAAGTATAAAGCTACTATGACCCTTTACCATCTCCCAAGACTACTTTAGAATATTTTTAATTAGTTTATCACTTTCTCAATATATATGTTGTTATCTGGTGTTTAAATTTTTTAATACCACTAGACATTATTCTCTTTTATAGAGTCAATGTTTGTTTACATTTGCCTAATATTTGCAGTGTTCGTTCTTTGCTATTTATTTCTTTATGAACCTTGGATTTGCTTTTTAGGTTCACTTTTTCTTCTGCTTGAAATATATTCTGAGAAATTCCTGTCCTAAGGGTCTTGAGGGGAGTCTATCTCACGGTCTGCCTACTTGAAAGAAATCTCTACTTCTTCCTCATCCTGGAAATATATAGTCTCTTTGGGTATAGAAGTTTGAGTTGGTAGTCATTTTTAGTCAGCATGTCAAATATATCATTACACTGTCTTCTGTCATCCATTATTACAGTCAAATCACCTGTTAATATAACTGCTTTTTTCTGATTGCTCATAATATTTTTCTCATTACCTTTGTTTTTCTACAGTTGCACCATGATGCATACAGATGTTAGTTCCTTTTCATTTTTTCTGCCTGAATTGTTATGCTTCTTAAAAATATTTATTGTTGCAATTAATATATTTCAGAAAAAATCCAGTAC